GCTGTACTGCAGACGAGCTCATTAGCCAGCACCCCCACAACCCCCCCCCAACGAGGAGGAGGGCGGGCAGCCCAGTGAGCGTGGCGGCAGAGGCGGCAGAGAAAAGGCTGTCACTGTCCTTTCTTCCTTTTGGTACAAGCGTCTCCCTGAGCCGACGATTCTCCCGCAGTGACACCTCTCACGGGCGCTAATGAGATCCGTGTCACAGAGCTAATGCGTTCTGACTGGACTCTTGATAGACACCCCACTCCTTCAGGGGAGACCACAGGCTAGCACTGCCCCCCTGGGGGCCAGGCCCCCACCCTGCCACCTGCCAGCCCAGCTCTCTTGCCAAACAGTTTTGGGTAGCAAGCTCCTGAGAGTCCACTTGGTCTCTGGCCATGCCACCTGTACCACATGCCTCAGTGGGATCTTCCTCCATCCCAGAGCGAGTGGCCAAGTTCCTAGGGCAGGACCACCCAGCCGGGCATCAGGGAAGGTTCCAGTTACTCTCCTAGCCAGCTGAAACCAGCAGTAATCTATGGGGCCTCCAACTTACAACAGCAGGTGAGATTTTACTGACATTTCCTGTGCAGATTTCCAAAACGAAAGAAGGAGGCCCAGGCCCTGCCCTTAGAGAACCCAAGTACACAGGGCCAGATCATTACCTCTGACAAATTATAACAGGGTCCAAGTATGTATTTTGAACACTCATACTGGGAGGGCCAGGCAAGATTCCCAGAGGAGGTGGCCCCTGGAAGATTAGCAGAATTTTCCTGGGCCATGAGGTAGGGAGAGAACTGAAATCACAAAGAACCATCAGGGCCAGAAGGAGGTCAGATGCCAACAGTAGCAGCAGACGGGGAGTGGTGATGCTGCCCTTGCTTTCTTCCTCAGCTGCTGCTACTGAAGCTCTGTTAAGGCCTACACGTTTCACATGACACTGAGGGAATGAGGGAAGCAAGCTTGTTTTCTTCCACATCGTCTCTGTTGGTAGTGCAAAGCCCAATACCAAAAGAGTGCTTCACAGTTCAGCAGTGGTAAGAACACAAGCTCTCGAGATCACACCACTGCACCCCAGCCTGGGCAACAGAGCAAGACTCCATCTCAAACAAAAAAACAAAAAAACCCCCCACAGGTTCTGTACTCAGATGGGCTTGGGTTTCAATCCTGGCTCCTCAACTTAACTGGCTGTATGACCTTAGGCACATCACTTAACTGATCCTCAGTTTCTTAATCTATAAAATGGGAATGATGATGCCTGCCTTCATAAGACTGTTGTGAAAACTGAATTAGTTAATATAAAGTGTCCCCAAATAATGTGAGTGTTTGATGCCCCTTTGCTGAAATGAAGGAAGGACCATTTAGCAGTCCCCTGTGGAGGCTGCCCTGCCTCAGAGCCTGTGGTCCAAACCAAGGATGCTGACGGAGACCATGCAGGCCGTATTCGCCACAACCTGCTCTGGCACCATGCTGTTCACCAGGCTCCCAAGGCCTCCCCTATGATGTCACACTGACAAGCCTCCAGCAGCCTTTCTGCCAGTGCTCCACCACCTCCGGACCCTCTCTGGCCATCCCTAAACCCGACTTCACTCTCAGTCCCCAGGGCCAAGCCCACTTGTGAACTGTGTGGGGGCAGAGCACCCTGTCTGCCATTGTTACCAATACATTTCTAGCACCTACCATGGCTCCTGATAATATGGTAGGTCCAAGGTAGTGTGTACTGAATGAAAGGAAGTTTTACTCGGTGCCCTGCCTCTATTTCCACAGCCGACACCCTCTTGCTTACCTTGCTGTCCCTTCCCTTCAGCCTCCCTGTCTAGTCTCTCCTCACGAGTCCTTCCCCTACAAACTGAGCCTCCTCTGACTGAAGCCAACACTGACCACATAACTCCCCTGTCCGAAACACTCCTACAGCTTTCCCACACATAACCCCGTCACCCCAAGCCTGCCTCCATGCTCTCTCAGCACCTCCACGCCACCCATGCCACATCCCTATGGCACTGCAGGAGAACTGAGCAGGCCCTGGACATGGTCAGCTGTGGGATCTGCAGCACTCTTGCCTGGCAGCACCCAATGCTGCCTCACCCCCCTCAACCAATACACATACCACTCCCCACTCCAGGCTGGCAGCTCCTCACACAGTTAATTAGCACCATGTCACTAAGGACCAGCCTGAGTGGCCAGTGACAGGAGCTGACCTCTGACCCCCAGGGCTGGAAAGCAGTCCACATCAAACTCTTACAGCGCGACCCTTTTAGCACGCACAGTAACTCGGGGCACCGCCAGCTGAAGCTCATTAAAGCTGCCTCTTTGGTGCGAGGGCCATTAACCTCACTGTTCAAAACCCACGCCTCCCCTCCCCGCCTCTCCCAGCCCAATTAATGCCCTGCATCCTCCCTCCCTTCCAAGCACCCTCACCCACACCTCAGAGCCAGCCTGGAGATGGCAGGGCAGCCCTCTTCATTCAAAGACTACAAAGACCAAGTGTCAAGAAGCCCAGTGCCCTGGTAAGCCCGTGTTGCTGGCAATGGAGGAGGGAGCCCCTTCGGCCCCATGGTGTGCCCAGCACTGCATGAACATTTTCCACAGGGGACTCACTGAGCCTTCCCAAGAGCCCAGAGAGGCAGGTGGCACTGTCCTTCACCCAAGGTTGCAGGGTTCTGGGTGGAAGAACCAGAATTACTTCTGGCTCCAAAGCCCTTGCTCCACTATCACTCAGAGCCTTGGGCTGCCCCATGGGGCCCACCCATATAAATATTCTCTGAAAAAGGAGGTGATACCTCAGAGGTCCTAACCTAGGGTCAACAGGTGAACAGACAACAGGGTCATTGCTGAGTCTCAAGAAGCACAAAGAGTGAGAACAAGGAACCCCTTCTGCTCACAAACACATCCTGGGACAGATGACAGAAGGGGCACCCAGATCAAGTACATGTAGGGTGCATTAACCCAGTCCTGCTGTCCCTAGTCTCCAGTCAGTTCCTCCTTCCCTGGACCAAAGCAAGTCTTCTCACTGGTCCTCTTTGGTTCCTCTCTTTCCCATCACTCTTTCATTGATTCATTTACTCACCTACTTGTTCATTCAACAACCCGTATGCATTTATTGAGCACCTACTAAGAACTAGTTTTGTGCAATACAAACTGCCTCATTGATTCTGAATCAGAGCTTTGATCACATCATTCTCTCACTCACAAACCTATGTCTCCTCAAAACTGCAGGAAAAGTCCACATCCTTTTAACCAGGCATTCAAGGCCCTGCTTATGTCTCTGTTTCTTTTCTAGCTGTTTCCTAACCCAAATTTTCCACTCCAGTGATGGGCAGCTTCTTGTAGGTGTCTGAACTTGTACTCAGCACACTGGGTTTTCTCATGCCCACAGGCCTTTCTACTTAGTCCTCTTATCTAAAATATCCTTCCCCCATTTTTCTGCCTAGCAAACTCCCATTCATCTTTCAAAAATCCCAATTCAAGTGTCCTCTTCTCTAGGAAACTTCCTGCTGACGCTGCTGGGTCTGGCGTCTTCTCTAGATTGTTTGGAAAACATCTACGAGAGGAAACAGCAGTTATGGTGGAGTACCCCCAGTTCCCCAGGCCAGTGGTCACTTCCTCTTTCCCCTGGACCCGAGACACCCTTGAGATGTCCCAACAAGAATATGGTGGCATCCCTCTTGGATTGAGATGCCCCCATATCACTACCTCTTAGTGAGAGGTAACTGAAGAAGTAGAGGCTACTCGGCAACTGAGGAGAGGGAAAACCACCTTTGGGGCAACCCAGGTGTTTTCTATCACAGCCCTTAGTACCCTGGGTGGCAAGCACCTACTTCAGTCCCTGTCTCTTCCCAGGATGTGAGCTCACTGAGAACAGAAACTTCTACTCAGTGTGCCCAGCATCCACAAGGCACCAGTGAATGTCTGGAATGGATAAAGGGGCTACTCTGAAGGTGACTGGGTCCTTTGGTCCTGGTGTATCTCTCTAGTCCCTCCCCACAACGATGCATCCCCAAAGGTTCACAAGTTGTGGTAATGTCAGAGCACCGCCCAGAGACACTCTGGCTCCTGCCCACTTGGAACAAGGCCTACGCCTGGTCAAGTGCCCCACTTGAGAGCATCTGCATGCACACATGAGCATATGCAAACAAAATAAGATATACAGAACTAAACAGACACACCTGACAGATACGTACACAGGCTGTAGCTGCTTCCACACAGACTCATGACCTCAGAAAAATACAGATATACTGTTACACGCCCCCCAACAGACATGTATAATCATGGACACATTATACTCTCAGTATGACACAGAGACATATAGTTAAAGGTGTCACACATATGCAGACACACAGATACTCACAGAGAGATATATATTCATACTGATAGATCAGAAACTAACAGAGCCTCCAACTGCCTGGAATCATAGCCACTCCAGGTTCCTTCCAAACATGAATCTACCTGAGGGTGTACCCCCATTTGGTACCCCAAGTGGTCCCCCTCAACCCAGGCACCGCTCAATGGAGGCTGCTGCTCCTGCAGGGGAGTCAATACCCTGTGGACGGAGTCATCGGTCAGAAGGACCCCGACTAATTAAAAGCTGGTGAGGTTTAAATAATTCATCTCCTTAACTCCCATTGATCGTCCAGTTTAGTGGCCACAGACTTGAAACAATATTAAACAGCCTTCTCCAGCTCCATGGGGGGTGGGTAAGCTGACATGTCCCCACCCCCTGAGGACACTGATCACCAGATATGCAGCCAGTGAGGGGGGACCCTGGCCTGAGTCCAAGGCCACCTGTGACTCACTGAAAGCCCAGACCCCAGCCTCTGAAATATCATTTTGAGTGGTCATTCCAGTGATCCCATTCAGTAATTTTCTCATTCCACCCTCTTTCCGCCATCCCCCAACTATGTAGAGAGCCCTGTTGGGGCACTCAATGAGCCATGGAAACCCTCTGTGTGCCTGGGGACTGGGGCATGCAGGCAGGGACGATGGATGGAACTGCCGGGGAAATATGCGAAGGGACTGACCAATGCCGCTGTGGGGCCGGCCTATGTGTTGCAGGCTGAGGCCCTTGTTCATGTCTAGAAGTCCATTCTTGGGCCAGCAGCCCATGGCGAAGCTGTAAGCCTGGAAAACAGGAGGCAAGTGGTTAACGGAGGCCCTGACCCCCTGAACCAACCCCACTCACAAGGTCTTCCCCCCACCTCCCAAATCTTTCCAACAAGGAATCCCTCTCATAATGCCATCTCATGAGAGTCCCCTCTCCACCCAGGTCCTCCCCCGACCCAAAAGAAAGTCCCTTCCTTCTCTAGAGTCCCCTTTCTCCTGGGCTTCTCCCCATCTGAGTCCCTGGCCCGCACTGGGTGCCCCTCACCAAGACTCCTCTCGAAGGAGTTCCCGTTCACTAGGCTCCTCCTGCTCAGGAGCCCTCCTCTCACCAGGGCACTGCTGCACCATGCCCCCCTCCTTAGGATCCTCCCTTTCCAGAGCCCCCAGCACTTTCCTAGGCCCCCTCCTCACAGTATTACTGTTCACAAAGACTGGCCTCAGGCAGGGCTTTGGAGACCGGCACATCCCAACTGTACTCCACAGACAGAAATGTTGAAGCAAGAGCTGGCCAGCAAGGTGCCATAACCACAAGCAGGCCAGGCTATGGAAGGTTCTGGAAGCTTTGTGGGGGCTCAACTGAGGAGAGGAGTAAGGTCACATGGTCAACTCAAGCAGCTGAGAGGGGAATACATGGGCGTGTGTGTGTGTGTGTGTGTGTGTGTGTTTGTGTGTGTGTGTGTATGTGTGTGTGTGTGTGTCAGGGGGAGCAGATGCTCTGCTGAAGGTCAAGTGCTCACTTATGCATATTCAAAGCGGCCACCCATCGATCTGTACTTAATTGTTTTCCTGGGGTTGGGGAAGGAAGTGCTGGGGGCATCGATCTGCTCAGGCCCCAGCACTACATTGCCCCCCCTCCATCCCCTTCACTCGCCACCTGGCTGCCAGCAACCTCTACCTGGCGGGAACACATAGCAGGGCAGGGGCAGCACCTTCCCTTACAGTCCCTTTTAGCCATGACTGACCTGACACCACAGATGAGGAAACTGAGGCCCAGAAAGAAGAGACTTAACACAGGTTAGATCACGATGAAGTAGCCGGATAGGATTTAATTCCTGCTCAGCCTGTTAACCAAATCTTGGGCTTCTCCTGTAGGCCTGGTAGCTAGTTGGGCCTTCAATCATTACCCATCCTCTCATGTTGGAAGTCCTCGGACACCAGGCTGCCCTTCTACTGGTAGCAGGACAGCGTACAGGACAGTAGTCAGTTAGAATGAAGCTTGGGTGATTTTCCAGAAGTTGGATGGGGGGGTCCAGTGATGGAACCAAAGTGACTGCCAGCTGTGAGTATATGGGCACTGCAGTGGTCCAGCCCTTTGCTAGGCCCAGGAGATTTCCATTCCACTAACACAGAGTGGAGAGGGCCCAGCACAGGGTCAGAAACAAAAGATGGGAGGCTACACACAGAGTCTGTGCCAGGGCGCAGGGATTCTGTGTCCACCCTGCCTTCCCAGCTATAGGAACCAACACACCAGCCCCGTAGGTACTAGGAAGCTAGGCGAGTATACTTAAACCTTAGCACCCTCTAAAGTCATTCTCCTTGACTGCAGAGGTACCAGCCACAGCCCAACTTCCCAGCCAGCCTCCTCCTATCCTTTCCCAGGCCACAGCTGAACCCACAAATCAGGAGCTGAGTGTGAGGCTCAAGGACAGAGAAGAAGACGCTGGCCCAGAGCCAGGGCAGAGCTGGGACGGAGGCAGTGAGGGAAGCAGCCAGTGGGCGGTGCACAGCTGGAGGAACCGCTGAGCCTGGTCAGGGCTGAGGCTGGAGCGCAGTGGGCCAGAGAGCAGTGGCGGCTGCCTTTCAAGTACTTTAAAATCACTTACAAAGGCCGGATTAAACGATCAGAAATTCCATTTAATAGGACAAATAAAGAAATAACAATCTACTCTATCAGCCTAGAGAAGGCGAGCTGGATGGGTTTTTTTTTTTTCCCCTCTAAAAAGGAAAAAGGGAAGGAAGGGGGAAAAAAGAAGGATAATATGTGTTTACTCAAGCAAAGAAAAAAATATTTAAGTGATGTCGAGGAGAAGATTGCAGTAACTAGTGAAGAATAACATCGTCTACTTTGCTGTCAAATCACACCCGAATTTCAGTAATAGATTCTCGGCTGACACTCAATTCAATTCGAAGGTGATCCTGCTTTATCCCAGCCCATCAAATATTAAACACTTGCATTAGCAGGTGCTGCCGCTTCCCAGCTTAAAGCGGCGGGCGGGCGGCAGGGCTGCTGAGGCCCCTCCGCTCTGCTAGTGGCTCAGGGACAGGGCAGCTCAACGTTATCTGCACGTCATCCTGAGTCTTATCGCAGCTAAGCGGGAAGACCACTTCAGATAACATTAGATGTTTGCCCCGCCACGTCTTCATGATTAGGTTATTATTATAATTATGACTCCCCAAGATCTTCCACAGACTGGGATGTGCAGAAGGGGGACAAAGGACAGAAGAGCCCAGGAGGGCCTGGCTGGGCCAGGGAAAGCTGGGCCCCTGGCAGAAAAGCGGAAGTGCCAGGCAAGGCGGCAACCTGGTCCTGCCTGACGGATGCCTTTCAGGAAGGGCAGTCTAGCTTGTCAGAGCGAGGTCGAGATGAATTGGCATCTCCACTGCGGCTGCGGGTGTCATGCTGCACAGTTTCATATTCCCAGATAAGGCGTGATAACCAATTGCTGCCGTGACATGGCCTCATCCAGCACTTCCTCAGGGAGGGGGAGGGGGCGGCGCATGCACATGGGTCTGCCAAGCTCCTAATAAGAGGGATTTAATTTTTACAAATGCTGCTTCCAGCGGGGCCTTCACATACCAGCCAAGGTCCAAAAATGATATTAAAAACGGTTAATTAAAACTGCTTTCCTTCAGCCTGGGCTCTCCTGCTGTTGGTTCTGCTGAGAACCCTGGAGCGTCTTCCCCAGGTACTGACAAGTATCCCTGCAGCGTCTAACCTTCAGATGTGACCATCAGCCTCATGGGACCATCCTAGGCACAGTACCAGGGCCCACCCAGCACATCATGCTCCCCCAGCTCCTGCCATCTTATACTGCTCAGGCACAGCCAACAGATGCAGATAGCCGGCCACAGAACACAGACGGTTCCACAGCAACCTGTGCTCCTGCCAACATATGGTCTGGATCCTCACACCTGCCGAACCTCTGTACCTGTACTCATCCGTGCTCACCACTCACTTCTAAAGCCCATGCCTCTCCCCACCAGATATGCAGGCTATGGCGTGGCCCAACTGCATATATGCTGGCACACCACACATGCATTGGACTTGCTCTCAGGTGCCTCTGCCACCCTTCCATTACTTGCTCCCTCCATTCACCCTCCTTAAGAGATTGTATCTCTCTACAAATCTCAGCAGAGACGTTCCTGGGAGTCCTGCTCAAGGTGAGGTGTTATGGGCTATGTCTCAGAGATTCTGGCTGAGGAGCCAAGGCTGGTACTCAGAGACCCATCAGAACAGGAGGATCAGCAAAGCTGAGCCCTGTGGATTGCCTGCAGGAGACAATGAAGACAAGCAGGCCCTGGTGAGATTGGAGGAGGCTAGGAAAGCTTCCTGGAGGGAGTAGCAGTTGCAGGTTGGGAGGGTTTGACAGATGACAGGGGAGTATAACATTCCAAACAGAAGGCACAGCAAGGACAAAGGAAAATTGCAGAGGCAAGCACAACACAGGCTTGGGTGTGGCTGCGACAGCCAAGTTAGAGGGGAGCCACTTCTTAAAAGCACTGCTTCGCAACTCTGTGTACCAGACAGCAACATGGCATTAAGGGGCCTTGTGTCCATCCCTTTAATCCTGCCTGCTCCCTCTCACTGCTCCCTTCCCTCTCGTGCCAGCTTGGAGGAGTAGGGTTTGGGGCCCAGAAGCTTTCTGACCTTAATCAATGTGGGGCAGGAATCTGCTTTAAGAGCTCTCTTCAGGAGCTTGTGCCTGAGCCTGTTTCGCAAAGCTGCTTCCAAATCCTCTGAGTACCACTTCTTTGGCTGCACCTCTGTCAGCCATCAGGGTCCAACTGCCCAGCTATGCACAGTCAGCACCTAACCCCTGGGGTTCCTGGCCAGAGGGTGGGGCAGGTAGGAGGATGACTGAGGAGCTCCTGAGTCCTGAGCAGGGCAGGTATTGATGCTGAGCCACAGGGACAGGTGGAGCTGGCTGGGGTGAAAGATGCTGGGCCTACTAACCCACTCTAGCCCTGTGCCAGGCAGGCACGCACGCTTCCCTTCCCATGGGCTGTTGCAATTTCCATGCGCAGGGAAGCAGGTGCCGAGCTGCTCCCGGCTGGCTCTCCTCTCTCGTGGCTCTGCCCGCCTTGGCTGCTGCCCCATTAGCTTAGTGGCCAGCCATCTGCGACGGGCCTGCCGCATAGCCCTGCTGTAGGCGCGGCGGGTGGCCCCCTGTGTAACAGGGAGCTTTGCCATTAGCGCCTTTAATATTCTGACACCTCAGCACAGCCTGCTATTACATGCAAACGCTGATCGCCCTGTGAAATTACATTGCTGGGCCCGCGAAATGGAATCGTGTATAATCAGCCTCCTCCATGCACTGTCAGTCCCATCACAAACACGGCGCCCGGCGGCTTATGGGGGCTTAGCAGCTGCGACAAGTGTATTGGGTTTAATAGATGAAGTAGCCCTCATCGGTTGCAGCAACAGATCCTTCAAAGAGGAAAGAAGAGGCATCAGCAGCTGCTATGGTGTCTCTGCCCACCCATATACTACCTACCAGGACCCTGAGAGTGGAGTGGACACAGAGTGGGCAGGGCTGTAGTTGGGCTAAAGGGCTAGAACCCAGCTCAGCCTGCAGACAGAACAGGCCGCTCTGCAAATTCCAGAAAACCCAGAGTTTCGGAGCCTGCACTAGCACATTCAGCCTGCCTAGAAGTGAGGAGAAGCAGGCCTTTAACCATACCTCTTGATGACTTGTCACCCTCTGGTGACTGCCCAAGACTAGGAACCAAATCAAACCACCTGCCATTCCCCTAACCCCCAACAGAGATGAAGCTGTGATGGCGATACTCCAGAGGAC